AAACGTAGAGATGCAGCAAAAACAAAACATTGACTTTTTCCAACAGCCCTTTGGTGTTTAAGAACCAAGCAGAGGACATATAAAAGCTTTGAAAACCTTCAACATTTTAAAAGAAAAACCTTATTTTGTAAAGGAAGCTGTCTGCTGTTCTATCTGGCTTCTTGTCACTTTACTCCTTTGTCATTTCAGTGTTTGCAGCCTTGATTGTTTTGGAAACAAAAGAAATTGGGTTGAAAAAGGATCCTACAGAAAAAACGACGCCAATTTTCGTCTGCTTTGGAGAAAAGAACTGTCCCTGAGCTGAAGGCATAACAGCATAGACATGTCGAAAAATTTCTGATTTGCAATGTCTCATCACTAATTGTCAGCAATGGGACCTTGCATCAGTTTCAGGGACTCTAAAGCCTCTTCCCTACTGTAATTAAAACACGGGTCAACTTGCTAAAAGAAATCGGCATATGGCTCCCTTCCTATTGGCAAAATAAACATGCCTACCCCTCGTTGGCAAGCTCCCTGGCCTCTGTCCCCCACTGCTGGTGACGTTACTACCTTGGGTTAGCGCTGATGATGTCACCAGTTCAACAGAATAAAGGAAAGTAATGGAGAGCAACATGGAAGGAAGCCAACACTTAAAGGGCGGATTATACTTCTGCAACCGCACACACATCAGGCTTGCGTCTGGTCGCGAATCAGTTTTGCTGGTATGCTTCTGCAACGACGGTCTGGAATTACTAGGGATGCACAGCAGTTTCCTGCAAAGCGCTAAGGGGAGCCTATTAGAAAACTCGCGAGAACTTCGGCGGACGGTCACGGGAACTTCTTCGGTGGCGCAGGCGGAAGTGTTTGTTTTCCAAAACAACATGTCTGAGGCAACGTACAAGTGGTTGTACTTCCAAACCTCTGCGATCAACCTTTCGCCGTGGCTATCCGTTGTTGTTATTACTCCTCAGTTTTTAAAAATGGCATGCCCCGGCACCGAATCGAGAAGGAAGACCACACAGAGCGCCAGAAAGGGATACCAAGGACCAATCACAGCTGCTTTTTTTCTGCGCAGGTCCGCTTGAGGTCTGGGCGGGATTTTTTTGAGGTGCGCAACTGTTGCAGAGCCTCTGCGCGGGGGGCGTGGTCGCGCACAGAGTCAGATTTGATGGTTGCAGAGACTATGCATCAGAAGAATAAATTGGCCTTCAGTGTTTGTGTCGTTCATTTGTTGTTCCAAATCCCTCTCACCGGTGCTGTGCCATATTTAGTGAATGTAAGCAGAGTTGTTTCGGCTTGTGAGAATATACATGACTCTACCAACGCCTGTACGTTGAGGTCAATGGCATCACGTAAATTAGCTGGTCGACCCAGGTCAGATGCTCGCACTGTATGCCGATCGGAGCCGAGCTGTTGGGGCGATTTTAACCCGGGCACCTTGCAGATTCTTTGACACGGCTGGAGACGAGTCAGTGAGCTGTACCCACTGCTAAAGGCCGATTGTTCCCAGTTTAAACAGGTTGTTCAGCTATTGGGAAAAGGCTATAAATTAGCAGCTCTGGACTAATTTCCAATCTGAAACCAAGGTGGACAGAGCGCATCACCTTGGGGCTAGAAAAGAACAGGACTGTTCATGTTTAACAACCTTTTACTGACCCTCTAATATAGAGTGAAACATTTCAGGAATTCTCTTTTGCTCAAGCAGGACTGACCAAACCAAACATTCATTGGTTCTTGGTTTGTGCAGATTAATAAACTGAAATCTTTAAAAGGCACATCTTCAAAATATATAAGGTTTTTATATCCTGAACATACAACATTTAAAAAGCAAGATTTATATTTGCTCTCTAGACAAATAAGAATACGGTTTCTTCCTTTTTGTTTTGTTTATGTTACACTACATGAAGTTAAATGGTGATTAGTCCAAGGTATCATCAGAAGAGCGAGATGTAATGCCAGACACTCCACCACTTTGTGTCTGCAGCAACAGAATATTGTAAACAACCACAGCCATCTGGCTGCAGTTCATCGTATCAATACAAATGAAATGTCAGCTTTTAAAAGAGATTACATCGACAACTTGCATCATAAACACGTGTTAGGCCTGGTGGAAATTAAATGACAACACCTATACGTCGGCACTTAGCTGCACCTCTAAGTTTTTTTCTGTATTATCATTATGTACAGATTGGGTGCATTTTTTTCTTTTCTTTTTCTACCCATCATGACATTTTAGTTATTATCCACTCCCCAACTCTAGGTTGAAATGCTTCTTATTTCAGATAGACTAAAAGGGCCTTTTTTGTCCATCTAGTCAAATGCAAAGCATTTAATTAAAGTCGTAGAGAAGCGGCTGTTCCGACCGTTGCATATGCGAATCCTCCCAAGTGGTCCACGACTTTTCAAGAGTGAATAAAGTGAATGTGATTGGTTGTTTATCAAGGGGGCAGAGTTGTTGTGGCGGAAGGTTCTTAAGCAAGTTTGACTGTGGCAGGTGTCTGAGAAGCATCCGCTGACCAGTTAGCAACTTCGTGCTCATAGGTTCCCAATGGGAAATAACATTGCGACCAAGTAGCTCTAAATTGGGACTTAGAAACAACACTGTCAAGGAACGCTATGGACAGTGGAAACATGCAAGAGGAAGACAGTTTTGTGTCGGAAGTTGTGGATGAGTCTCCTCTGTCATACATTTTTTAATCTAGAGGAGGAAAGCGGGGATAAAGATGTTGTGGAAGAGGACGCCAGGGCAGCAGAAGCTTGGTTTGGTGTAGAAGGCTTACAGCCGTACATTTTTGAGCCTTTGCTTCGCAATGCTGCCAGTTACTGTATGTTAGCTCTACGCCTGCCGAAGACACAGACAGCTATCCCCTTGGACACTGGGACGGAACTCAATGGTAAAGTAAATTATTATTCCTATTTCAACCGTTGCGAATATTAGCCGCGACATATGAATCAAAATGATATAACCGAAAAAATATATACGATTGACAGACGACCGTTGATATATGATTGGGTGAATTTAGGTGTACAAGCTGACGTATAGCTGGCCTGCATAAGATGATGAGAAAAAAACAACAGATTTTAAGGATTTTCTAAATTTTGGGACAATATCGTCTATGATTTGACATTTAAATATGATTTCCCTACGACTTTAAGCCATTTACTATTTTCTACATAGAGCTTCTTGTGGCTCATCTCTTGCTCATGTCTTCTAAACCAACAATAAACATGTTCAGGGACAGTTAGTCAAAACCCTGTAGTTGTTCAGACACAAAACAATTAATTATTACATCTTTCAATTAAACTCCTGGTAGTTTTTCACTGCTTATGTCAGAATAATATGTCGAACAAAAAACGAGTATAACAAGCTAATAATAGAAGATGAATAGATCCCCCTAATTACCACCTTCTTGGGTTCCTCCTGCAGATGGCTGCTAAACAGACACGCTCAGAATAGCTCCAAGCACCCAAATGTGGCTTTTAGGTAGGTGAGAGGAAAAGACTTCTTTCATCTTTCAGCCAACTGACCAGCAGTGTGCAATAAAACTAAAAACACAAGGAGTTGCAATGTTACAGTCATCCATTTCCCTTTTTAAATCACAAGAAAATCTGATTATTGCATCACTTCCTCTGGCATCCCTTTAAACTCAATTTACAGTATGTAGCCAATAACCTCACCATCCCAACTTAGGCTTTTTTTTTTTTTTGCCCAGCATGTAGCAGAGGCATGTATTAGTCAGTAAAAATGGTTTGATGCTGAACCACCGGTTCACTTTTCCCACTGTAACTTAATTTCTGAGAAATTTTCAGGAGCCTTCTAATAATTTGATGATGATATGTGCTCACAACATAAGTTTGACACCCAACAAATGGTGACAACATTCCTGGAACGATCAGGTCAAGATTCTAATCAGACTAATGACCCAGTTCAGTCTTATACAAGCCCCCCAACCCTCCTGCTGGGAACATCACCTCTTGGCCTGCGGGTGTGGATCCTTGTTTTACGCTTCTAGACGGACTTTTCTGTTAAATCAATCAAATCCATTTGGACATTAGCCATCAAATCCAAAACAAACTGGCATTTTTTTTCTTATTTTTAGTTGTTTATCATATTGAGAACCATTATTGCATCAAGACAAAAAAATATATATATATAAATCCCCTACTCGATAAAACAAGGTTTTAAGCCTTAAATTCAAAACAACCATTAAAATAATAGATTGAATTTAACCTCATTATTATTCCTATGCTTTTCCCTTTTTAATCCAAGACTTCTTCCTGTGTCTTGTATTCTTTATGGTTGCAGCACAATATTTAAGAAGGGGCGGTTTGTGATTGAGAGTATGGCAAATAATTTCTCTGGAAAAAAACAAGTTAAAATAAGTTTTGTTGCAAAAACAAAAACTTCAAATGACTTCCAAGCTTACAAAAGCCTTCATTCTCGTCAACAAAATAGTAAAAATGTAAGAAATGCATCAGTGCAGTCAGATGAGAAGATGTTTGGTTGTCTCCCTTAGTATTAGGAACATAAACTGTGTGACTGTTAATATAACTATCGGGTGAATAAAAGTGGAATGTGGAAAATATTCATTTAAAAATAAATTCAAACTAATTCATATCAGATTCTTCCCTTAAAATCTGTCAGGTATCACCATTTGTTTATCAAACCCTTGAAGATCCTCCTAAATTGTAATACAAATGATATAAAGTCTGTCTATAGTGATGCTATTCACACAAATACCATGCACTTTATATAAACTTTGCATTTTGTGAAAAAAATCCTGCACATCTCATTAACAAATTGTCTTTCCACCATGAGAGTGCATCAGTAATTGGAAACAATAAATAAATAAAAAATGACGTTACTGGACAGCAACTTTAAAACCAATGGGGATTACATAAAGCTGACCTCACCCACCCAAGAAACCTTGAAATCTCTACCTGTGCGCCAATAATATGCGTGATCCTTACACATATGGTGCACACGCCTAAGTCAGTGCAGAATAAATGAAAATACTCACTTCCCGATCACCTCGCACAGCTCATACACATCCTCGAAAAGCACGTCGTCGTCCGCCATGGTCATCTAGATAAGCTGGGATGCTCTCCAGAAGAAATCTCACCCACAGGAGGGGGGTTTGGAAGTGATCAATGTCAGCTTAGTTTCTTTCTTAAACCAGGTTATCGCTGCGCCAGGACACACGCAGCTGTTAAACGCTGAAATAATCAGCGAGAACACAAACGGTGACTTAAACGGAGCGAATTAGCCGGTTAGCCGCATTTAGCTGCCGATCCAGGCTGTCAGATTTCGGCCCCACCTTCTCCCGAGCTCCGCTCCTGGTGGGCTGGCTAAGCCGTAACCACAGATGAGACCCCAGGGCGTGGAGATTTCCTCGCTGGTTTGAAGAAAAACACCCCTTTCAGCATTGCCTCGGGTTTCTACCCCAATGGTGGCGGTTATTACACACACAGCAGCACCAACAGCTCCCGACTATGATGCTGCTTATCGCCGCAAGCTAACGGGACTTTCGAGAAGGGTTAGCAAGCTAGGTTAACGCGAGCTAGCAGTCGACAGAATCACCGGTTGGTATATCACAGATGGATTATCCCCACCGAAAAAAAAACCGCTATGAGCTCGGGCTGCAGTGTGCTTCAGCTTCCCGAGCTCAGATTAAATCCCTCCGCGATCATATCCACGGCTTCTCCACTGTTGCATAGACCGCTTTGTGCTGGAGGATGTTAAAATTTGACCGAAATAAAACCCATTCGCTGCCCAAGATGCTGACTGGTTTGCCTGGCTGTTTTTTTTTTTTTTCCTTTTCCCGACTTCCAGAAATGCCAGACTCCTCCCTCTGTCGTCCAGCCTAGTGGTCTTTCCAGAGCCAAAATGGCCGCTGGGGAAAAAAAGGACACGAGGCTATTGGGTGCGTCTCAATTCGCAGGCTGCGTACTTGGTAGTACGCATTTTGAGGCCGGTGACGTCACAACGCTGCGCGGAGGCCGTCCCATTTGGCAAAAATTCTGAGGACGCTTAAAATGCAGCCTCAAAATGCGTCCTCCTTTTCCCCGAATTCTGAGGATGCATCGCTACCGTCCTTAGTGGCCTCGCCTCCCGCTAGATTTCCCGAGGTGCTTTGCGCGCTTTTTTTTTTTTTTTTTTTTTTTTTTAGTTGAAGAAAAAGAAGAAGAAGAAAGTCGGATTTTCTTCAAATTACGGACAACCGAAAGCAGCAGCAGCGCCGACAGTAGTGCGGAGAACACCTTTAAATGTAAGTAGTTTTTTTTTTTTTTTTTTTTTTTTTTTTTTTTTATGAACATCTATTAAAATACATGACGGTAACGGCGCCACCGGGATGTGTAGGAGCAGCTAAAGCTAAAGCTTAGAGCTAACCTGTTGATACGTGATGCTCATCAACAATTAAAAGCCTTCATACAAATGTCATTATTTTTTATTTTAACCTACATCTTACTGTACTGATAGCCGTATCCCTCACTAATCGGATCTATTTATTCTCATACAGTTTATTACAAAGTATTAGAGCTGTTAAAGCTTAATGCACCCGAAGAAATAACATTAGTCCAGCTTTACTGGGCTGTTAATACTGCAAACGTTTTGTTTTAATACTCAATAATGTATAGTTAATTTACAGTACAGTATAATAAGGTTTAAAGTATAATTCGCTTGAAGAACAATACAGGCGTAATTATACAGAACAGTCATTTTGCCTGTTGACTTAACAGAAATATGCTTTACATGTCATTTTGTTCCAGGGAGCAGACAGAGGAGTGGATAAAATGACCACCTTATCATCGGAGCCAAAAATACTGCTGCAGTCGGATGGAGGGAAGAGTTGAGGCAGAATTCCATCTACATGTTGCATTTCTATGTAAAAGTCACACAAGTTAAAAGAAGTCCTGTTCAAACACCAACGTACAAATATAATAATTTGATCACATCAAATGTTGCTCAGATGCCACTTTTTGTAAATCTCATATTTGCGATAGAAGTGATCCTTGTGTGGGACAACTTAAAAAAAAAATACAAAGTATGTTCAGGTTTGGATAATGTATTGAAACACACACACACACACACATATTTATATATATATATATATATATATATATATATATATATATATATATATATATATATATATATATATATATATATATATAAATAATGTGTGTGTAGGGAAATTACATCTTTCATTTATTATATTCATGTTAATTTACACTTTGAGTAAGCCTAAAAAGTAATCTCCAGGTTACCATTCCAAAGTCTTTTTCTGTAGAATTTCATCAATCCATCCAAATCATGAAACCTTCCTTTTTTCTAGCTTTAAAGAAACACTACAGAAAATAGCATCTGTTGACACACATTGTTTTCCTCTACTATAGGAATGCAAAGATCCAGGGCAGGAGGTCAGTGGTAAGCCTACTGCTGCCACCTGGCCCTGGTTTGTCCTCATGGATGAGGTATTAGGACAGAGGCCCTCTGTTGCCCCACCTGTCCTAATTGCCTCCATCCCTGAGGAAACACCAGGGCCAGGTGCTGCAGAGGCTGAGCAGCATCAGGGTGAAGATGAGGAAGAGAATGAGGATGAGAGAGGAGGGAAAGGACGAAGAGAAGAAGGAGTGACGAGTTGGTGGATTTAATCAGGGAGGAGATGGCAGAGGGAGGCGGGAAAGGATGGACAGATTATTTCATTTATTGGAGAGGATGGTGGACAGATGTTATTATTTTTTTGGTGTTTTTTTTTAACAAGTTGAAGTTCTGTGTTGCTGTTATGGTTAAATTAAATTATTAAATTGTTTATAAAAGTTATTGCTGTCGGTGTGTTCTTAAAGTCTTTTAACCTTTTTACATCATCTGTTTCATTACTTCTTTGTAATTTAAGTAAACTTAGAACAACTTCTCAGTGACATCAGTTTATTTTTAGAGAAGCAAGTATTTACAATAAACTATTAAACATTTTTAACTATTGACATTAGATTTTAAAATTAACTACTACAACTATTTACAAAAGATATACAGTAAATATTACTAGAGAACATATATATACAATTGTGACTGAGCAGGAGTCCCTGGTGGTGCTACTGGACTGGATGGGATGCAACACAGATGAGCTTGGAGTCTTCTGACTGCGAGTGGGACATCATCTGGGGGGTGGGGGTTGCCTCTCTCCACTGCTGATCCAATCAATGGCTGCCATGTTACTAAAAATGTTCAAGAAGACGCAGAAAATAATGACTTTACTAAAACTGTTTTTATAACCCTGAAATGAGAACAGCTAAAATGTGATTCTACTTGCCATCTAAATGTAACGGTGGTCAGGTAGACCCTCCTCCAGGGCAGACAGCTGGTCCCGCCATGGAGCACCACTGACTGCCTCCTCCACGTTCTCCCCTTCCTCATCCTCTGGCATGTCGTCCTGCTCTTCATCCTCTGGGGCTGTTATGACCTGTAGAAAAAAAAAGACAAAAATATTTATTTTTATTCAGTCATCTATCTTTTTTTCCTTATCTTTATTACATGATTTATTAGAAATTAAATTTTACTTCATCTAGATCCACTATTTAACTTAGTTTTTTCGTTTTTATATTTTGATTTTTTTTTCCTGTATTATGTTTATATATATATATATATATATATATATATATATATATAAAATTGCAAATAAAACCAGGCAGTAAGGGGATAACAATTTAGACAAAAAGGATTTATTTCTCAACAGTTTGGCTTCTCAACACAACATTAGTAATGGTGAAAGTAGTGATTTAAGTCAGTTATTTACAGGGTTTGTACACATTTAAGTATTCAATTCAAATTACTAAAGTTACAAACAAATAAATCACAAACTTACAAATAAATATAAAACTTGATATTTAAACCTATTCATCAATCTGCTGACAAGCGTTTACTTAATAGCTGGTATATTCTGATCATTAGCAGGCCCCTGTGGGTTAGAATAATAGCAGGTAGATCTTACCTCTCCACTGCGCTCTGCCAGCCTGAGAAAAATCCGTCGCCGGTTTTGCTGCCGCCGAAGCCGTCAAAGCGACTCTCCTCCTCCAATAACAAGTAAATAAAAAAAATAAAAATTTCCATATCTATTTTTTTGTTGTTTCTTTCCGTATTTCTCGAGCTGTCGGATTTTGTTTCGCGCTGTGTTTGGGGTAAACGTGATGACGTCGTGTCGCAACCAGGGAGTGCTCCAAAGGCTAGACAGTCCCATTTACCAACGGCTGAGGATCCTCCGGAGCAGCCTACCAAGTCTGGGTCCTCCGGAGGCTAGGTAGGCTGCGTCCTCGGAAGTACGCAGCCTGCGAATTGAGACGCAGAATTACTTGAGCCAATATGGCGTCCTACGGTGGCGCATAAGGGGACAGTTTCTTGCTAATCTCTCTAAAGTCGGTATATCCCGCGCAGGCGTCAACCGGCCAACTCTGATCACCTTACGTCAGCCTTTCTCTCCTTCTTATTTTCATAATTTTAACAGGCTCCTCGTTAAGCTGCTAATTTTATTTCCTCTAAATTATAACTGGTCTCGCACATAATGCCTGCTAGCAGAGTAATTAGAGGGATTTTATCTCCACTTAGACAATAAAGAGCTATAAGCAATATGCCAGGAATTCCCATAAAATATCAAGGAGCTGCTTCTAAAGGGTGGTTCCCAACACTGGGGTCGGGGTCCCACTCAGTTCACAGAATACTCAATGAATGGTCCTAATATGAGCTATAGCAGTAATTTAAATTCATATCTAAATACTGTATGTATGGATCTATGCAGGGGGCTCATTGTAATAACAGTTCTGGGATATGAATAGAATAGAATAGTATAGCATATATAATAATAGAATAGAATAGAATAGAATAGAATGAAATAGAATAGAATAGCTATCATAGAATAGAAAATACCTTTATTGTCCCACAATAAATTCTGGTGTTTACAGCAGCAAAAATATTATAGAAAAAAATTTGTCACACAAATGTGGACCTTAGAAAAAGGTATACGAATAAAGTAATGGTGAAGAGTTAAAAGATTAACAATAAAGTACTGTACTGTAAAGTGTTATGACAATCTAAATATTGTGCACATGGAGAATAAAGTAACCAATATACAGCTGTGGAAATTTCTACAGATTTGAATTGTTTTACTTTGAAAAATAACGGCAACATCAGAGATTAATTAATGTTCTTTTCTATTTATTTTTTTTACTTGTTGCTAACTGTTTATGTCAGTAAGTTTGGTTTTTATCTGTTTGAATTGGTTCATGGTTGTTGTTTTTTTTTTTTTTTCTTATTATAGGAAATAGAATAGAAAATCCCCTTATTGTCCCTCCATGGGGAAATACTGGTATTGTAGCAGCAAAAAGATTATAGAAAAATTGTTCACAAAAATGTGGCCCTTGGAAGAGTGTATAAAAATAACATATAGGTGAATAAACAAATAAAATGCTGTACTGTAAAGTGCTTTAACAATATAAATACTGTGCACTAAATAACCAATAAATAATCAATATACAGGAGCATCAGAGATGTGCTAAATGACAGCAACATGTTATTTTACTGACTAAGATAGAAACTGTGACAACAAATAGGCATGAATGTAGCAACTTATTGAGGTTGTTGGGAACAGTGGTGGTTATAAAGTCTAACAGCTGCTGGGAGGAAGGATCTGTGATAATGCTCCCTGGTGCATTTAGGGTGCAGCAGTCTGTCACTGAAGGAGCAATTGGAATTTAACTTTATTGATCTCGCATTGACGAAATTTACCTATGCAGTTAACCCATCCCCTTGGGCTGCCATCGTTGGGCGCTGGGTGATGAGTGTGGGGTTAAGGGTCTTTGCTCAGAGACCCAGAGTGGCAGTCTGTGGGAGTGGGGCTCAAACTCAAAACCTCCGGATTCCACACTCTATGCGAATGAGTTGAATTTTGTGTTAATAGCAATGTTAATTTAGAGAGCAACACTAGGTAGTAATTAGTTACATTTACTTAGTTACATTTATTTGAGTAAGTTTTTGAAATAAAAATATACTTTTAGGAGTAGCTTTTACTTGAGTAAATATATATATATACCGGTATATATATATATATATATATATTTTTTTTTTTTTTTTGTATTGTGTAATTGCTGTATTTAATAGCTTTATTTCTTATCCCATATATTAATTTCAATATTTATTATACTTAAAACCGCCAGAATATGCATATCACTGAATATTTTTGTTGAAGTTTACATAGTAAATCAGTTGTTATGATCATGGGAAGTAAGTAGATCAGTTACTCAGTACTTGTGTAGTCTACTATTCACTCTTGAGTATTTTCTTTAAATCTACTTTTTACTTTTACTTGAGTAAAACTATGAAAAAGTAGTAATACTCTTACTTAAAGCTACAGTGTGTAATTTTTTGCGACATCTAACGTTCAGACTGCAGACCGCAGCAACATGAACATCTCCCCCCCACCGCTTCTCCCCCCCAACAGTACGGCGAGCGTTACGGGACAAAATGTCTTCCAAGACGTCCGCATCACCTACCTTCTCAAGTGATGAGGTTTGTTTACATAGATAATTTTAATACTGCCATCTATTGTTCAGTACCGTCTCAGTTAATCTCTCTCAACTTGCCGTAGTTACTTTCGAGCGTAATGGGCGATCTCGCAATCACTAGTTTGTTGGCTCTGCGCTGCCATAGCGCAAAGATGTCTGCCTCCATGGCTGCGAGACCCGCTCCTATGTAATTATAAATAACGAATTCTAAGGCAACGCAAATATTAAGGTTAAGAGGCTGAGCTCGTAGATGATGATAAATAACATAGTTATGTATAATATATTACATTTCTGACTGTATATCCCTGTAATTATTACACACTGTAGCTTTAAAGGTATTGTTGAGGATTTTCGCGAATTTTTGAAGAGATTCCCGATTTCTCCACTTTAAAAATAAATGAAAATGCACCACCCTGTACCCGCTCCTGATAGTGTGCCTATTGAACACGTGCGAGAGCATGCACAAGCCCATTTCTCCTCGTGCATGCTCTGTTTAAAAGTTGCTGTTTGCATCGCTCATATATTGTTACTTTCCAATAGAAGATTTGCAAATTTTTATATATGTTAGACTCATCACTGGTAAGTGAAAATGAGGACGAGCACGTAGGGCAGCCTTACGTAAATATATCACCAGAATGATTGACAATTAGGAGGACCGCTTATTTTGATGATCCACCTGGAAAAAGAACTGTCTCCACTATACCTTTAAATTTTGAGTACTGTACTGACCTCTGGTTAAATTTGTCAAAGAAAAAAGCAAACTATTAAAGTTCAAATGATTACACTTTAAAGTTGGTACCTTTGTGATTCAAATACGATTGCGGTTTATTTTATTGCAATATGTAATTCACTACAGCTGGCTTTTTGTTGTATTGACAAACAAATTGGTCTGGGTTTTTTCATGTAAACTAAAGGGGAAGGCTGAAAAACAAACATTTGGGGACTTCTGTTCTTAAACCAGAGTTGGTGCACAGGGCGCCGGTGTTGCTTGCAAGGCCTATCTGATCCCTTGATAACAAAAAAGCTTTATCTGTATACTTGATGGAGCATGTTCCCTATTCGGGTTTAGACTTGAAAATCAAAAACTTTCAAAATTCTCCGTCAGAAACCTGAAAAGATAGCATCTTGTTTGGCTACCCTTAGATCTCATATTTACTTTTTTTATGATCCTGTTCTTTTGCTGTTTTTAAGTCAATACCATCTTTGTGTACTATAGTGGTTCACAGCCAGGATGAGAGGAGCTCCTTAAAGTCAAGATCATGGTTTCAGTTGGTAAAAGACTGACTGCTATGTTTGGATGGTGGATAAGTTTCTCTCTCAAGTAAAGGAATTAAAATGTCGTGCTCTCCTGTGGTAAAGGGTATAGTATCCTGAGGACCCCATAGTGCTTTAAACGTCCTCATTAACCCATTCAGGCACACATTTACACACTGATGGGGGCAACCCACATATATATCTGCTTTCCACTGCTGCCCTGGGGCAGACTGACATATAATAGAGTAGTTAGAGTAAAGTGGGAGCTAAGGCATTGCTCCTCCTAACTCCCTCTCCTTCACCAGTGGGTTAAAACATAAGAACACTGTCATGGGTGAGAAAGGAAGCATGATGCTTCCTCTTCCTACCTCCCTACCTGATGCACTTCTGCTTTGGCTAAAGTGTGCTTTCCAATTTGCTCGATTTGGACAGATCCTCTGATTGAGCCTAAAGATAAAGCTCACAAATTATTCTGTCAATCTGTCTGCAGAATCCCAATCTTCACCGCTGGTAATGGATCATCCTAAAAGAAGTGGAAAACCAATTTAGAACAGATCAAAATGCAGCATAACATGCAAATTTTGAAAGCGATCTTGTCCATATTTCCTTTTGATACTAACATTGTTAGTACTATTGACCCAACTATGTCTCATACCAAGGAACTAAATGAGAAATAACTGGTTTCACCGACATAGTATCTGCTAATTTATGAGTATTCTGCAAATTTCATAGTATTTCCCCTGTTCTTTATAATTCCAAAATCTGTTAAAAGTCTTTCTATATCCTCCTGAGAACCGAAGAAAAAAAATGTTTTACAATTTCTTTTTTTGTGTGATTTCCCATGTATTTGGACCTAAAAAAACACATTACAATTTTAATTTTTTTTTATATATTTTTAATTTTAATTTTATTGCATGTCCACTGTGGAGGACAACAGGACGATTTTCATGGGAAAATAGAATAAGCTTAAGAAATAAAAAAAGATTATGTCTTGAAAGTGATATTTACCTAAGAACCTTTGACATTTGATAAAAAACAGATACAATTCTGTAAAATTCTTCTTTTGTTTGTTGCTTGCAACAGCAAAAATACATGTATTTACTTCAACAATAAACTACAAGACATATAACTAAGCAGTTCTGCATTTCATCTTCCTCTGGATATTTTAGCTGTGATAATCCTGGAAGCATCTTTTCGTTTTTGTTATGCAGAGGAACATCATGCATTTGGTGCACCTCATGTATGTCTTGCCTTTGCAGCCCTTGTTCCTGCATCTTTCCACATGCTTTATGTCCATCATCTCTGGCATGTGTCTAGCTCCTAGTCTGCGTACAGATGGCTCTGGTTGTGGAATCCTTGTTTTGGTTGGTGGGTGATACTCTTCCTCACTGTCTTCACTGCTGTCATGAAATGCTGGACTATCCATCAGCTCTTCAGCCAGATGCAGTTTGAAGTCCAGGTAGTGCTCTATGTTTTTAGCTGGTTGATTTAGCGCTATACTGTCAGACTTGTACTGAATCCAAGCATTTGTGATGGCAACATCAAAGAAATGCGTCATCACACGTGATGTCCACCTCTTCGTCTTGGTAGACATGCGATAGAAGCTCAGCATTCTGTCACAAAGGTCTAAGAACACATAAGTTCCTGGAGGAAGAGACGCGACCATTCGCAAGACTGCTGCAGCTCCAACTCCCAGTCTTTGCCCCCTGAATGTGTTCTTGCCCTGATAAACCTCAAAATCAAGGATGAGACCATTTGGAGAGGCAAGTACAAAGACCTTCTGGCCAGTAGGGTTTGGCTTTCCTGGCACATACTGCCTGACTGGGCAATGGCCTGTGAGTGGGATGATTTGCTCATCAATGCACACTTTATCACACCTTGGAAGGCTGAGACAACCTTGCCTCACACGGTCAAGCAATGGTCTGACTCTCCAATGAATGTCTGACTTCTTTGTCTCTTCACTCACATCGAGGTCATTGACAATCTGAAGTGAGCTTCTTAGCTTGTAGAACCTGCCCCTTGTCATCTTCTTCCTAATGACTGGTACTTTGGTTTTTCTAGCCTAAAACAATTTCACTCAATGACAGCCAAGGCAGGCCATGTGGACTGATATGCCAAAGAAAATTTTGATTTCTTGGGCAGTAGTATTCAGTGACACTCCTGTTGTTTGCAGCTGTCTTTGATTTGTAAAGGCTGCCAGATCTTCAAATATTTTGTCATCAATGTACTGTGAAAAGTACTGTATTGGACTCCAGTATTCACAGATTTTAGGGTCATTGTGATCGGCAGGAAGCCCAGGTAGCACAGGTGTGAATCTATTATAATGGGATGGGAGAAAAATAAAGTTAATAAAAACACTACATTTGTTTTACACCATAATTTCAGTGTCATGGATGTAATATTGACCAATCTCACAAGCATTTTTTTAGGCAACTTGCATATATTTAACATCTGTTATACAGACTATAACTTCTACAATAATCTACAGTAACATGATAATAAAATTGATTACATTAGCCTGAAACTAAATAAAACATACAAGTTTGTCCTGGCCCACAGAGGACGACGACTTTCCGGCTCTCTCTCTGTCTCTGATTCTGTCTCATCAGATTCTCCTGTATTTTCTTCCTCTCCATCTTCGTCACTATCTTCCCCTATTACAGGCTGATACTCATTCTCATCCTTTTCCTCATCTGACAGCTCCAAATCTGAATCTCCCTCTATCATCTGGTACAGAATCCTCTCTGCTTCGCTTCTGTCTCCTACAACAATGTGCAGTCATTAAATACATTAAAATGGTCCCAGTGTCCACTACAGTTGACATTCATTAAATGACTGTTATTTCAAAACATAAATAATTAAAGTGTTTTCAGATGTAATAATATTGTTGATGACACATTAATAAACAAGAATATATATAGTTATCATGGTAAAAACAGCAATAGATAAAGAATATTTGACTTACCTCTCCTCTTTCCATAAAATGTTGTTGTTGGTATGGCTGCCATCTTGTGAGAGGAAAAAAGTAAAGTTCCCAGCATGCAAACCTATCACATGTGTCATGATGGGTTCACTGAAGGCGACCCAGTTATGCAGAACACCACTGACGGACACAAGGATGAAGAGTTCAACAGTTTATTAAAGCACAAACACACAGAATGTACTGATTCTGGTTCGGGGCCTGGATACTGGTTCACCGGAGTCTGCGTGAGAGACAGCACAGTTAGCGGTTTGCTGGCAGGGTTTTACTTCCAGAAGTTCACTGATTGTACCTTGAGGGTTCTTGAGGTTAACTTTGGGAGAGTCACTGTTGGTTCTGGAGAAGGGTTCATCAGCAGAGTCCGTTAGCTGCTTCAGCGTCTCACGTCTTGTTAGAACAGAACTTGGCTTGGAAGTCCCAGCTCAGTCCTGAGCTGCTTGAGGTTTCTCAGAGGGATCTTCAGGGTTTGGCTCAGAGGGTCGGCTCGGCAGGTTAGCTCTTCCAGAGCTTTCTCAGAGGAGGCACAGGTTTCCTGGAAGACAGAGATAATAGTTAGAATCCAGACTGGATTCAAAGTCATGGAGATACTCAGAGGATCTAGGCTTTAGCGCTGACCAACTGGAACAACACTGCGGCGTTGAGGCAAGGTCTGAAGACAGCTTAAGTAGTGGATCCTCTGATGATCTTGACGAGCTGCAGCTGTGCAGGGAGCTCCCTCAGAGGATCCACGGCGGACTCTGCTGGAGAAAGATGGGATTTCTCCAGCTCCCAACAGTACCCCCCCCCCTCAACGACCGCCCCTTGCAGTCCGGAAGAGGTAGATGGGCGGGAACGCTCGTACTCCTCGCTGAGTGCAGGATCGAGGATGTACGAGCCTGGGACCCACTGGCGATCCTCCGGTCCGTAGCCCTCCCAGTCGACGAGGTACTGCCATCCGCGACCTCGTCGACGGGAGTCCACGATGCGGCGCACTGTGAAGGCCGGATGGCCATCGACCTCCAGGGCGGGTGGTGGGGAGTCGGACGGTGGGCACAAAGGGCTCGAAGAAACAGGCTTGATCTGGGACACGTGGAATGTAGGGTGGATTTGGAGGGACTGAGGTAGTTGGAGACGAACAGCTGAGGGGGATGTCTCGAGAGGAGAGCCATACCTCCTGGCCCTCAGAGTACTCGGGGGCGGGACGTCTCCTGGCGTCAGCGAAGCGTTTAACAGACACTGATGACTGGTTGAGTGTGGCGATGGTCTCCCTCCAAATCCTCTGGCAACGGCGGATGTGTTGATTGACGGACAGCACCGATATCTCTCTCTCTCATCTGCGGGAAAAAGAGGTGGTTGATACCCGAGACTGACCTGGAATGGGGATTGTCCAGTGGATGCAGATCTGAGGGAGTTATGGGCATATTCAATCCATGGGAGAAATTGGCTCCAATCCACGGGGTTGTTCGAAGTGAGGCAGCGAAGGGTGGATTCCAACTGTTGGTTCATGCGCTCGGTCTGACCATTCGATTGGGGGTGGTAACCTGAGGTGAGAGAGGGTTTGCAGCCGAGCGCAGAGCAGAATGCCTTCCATACCTGGGAGATGAATTGAGGACCTCTGTCCGAGAGGATCTCTTGGGGGATGCCGTGAAGCCGGAAAACATGTTTAATGAGGAGCTGAGCTGTCTGGAAGGCCGTGGGAAGCTTTCTGAGGGGAACAAGGTGGCAGGACTTCGAGAAACGGTCAACAATGGTGAGTATAGTGGACATACCTCGAGAGACAGGGAGACCGGTGACAAAATCAATGGCGATATGGGACCAGGGACGCGAGGGAACAGGAAGTGGTTGAAGCAGGCCAGAATGAGGTTGGTGTGAGGCTTTGTTACGGGCACATGTGGGGCAAGCCAACACATACTCCTTTACGTCCTTGTGGAGAGAGGGCCACCAGAAGCGTCTGGAGATGAGAGCTACTGTTCTACTGACTCCAGGATGAGCAGAGAATTTGGCGGCATGCATCCACTGGATAAGATGGGACCTGACAGAAGATGGAACATATGTACGGTTAGATGGACCGTTACCTGGATCGGGTCCAGTGGCCAGGGCTGAGTTGATGAGGTCAGTTATCTCCCAGTTGACCACTCCCACTGTACATGAAGCTGGAAGGACAGGTTCAGGTGTCTCGGGATGATCGACGGAGTAAAGACGAGAGAGAGAATCGGGCTTCACGTTCTTGGATCCGGGTCTGTAGGAGATAATTAGGTTGAACCGAGAAAAGAAGATTGACCACCTGGATTGGTGAGGATTAGCCTGTTTGGTGGACTGGATGTAAGCCAGGTTCTTGTGGTCTGTCCATACAAGAACCGGGTGCTCAGCTCCCTCCAGCCAGTGCCTCCATTCTTCCAACGCCAGTTTGATAGCCAGGAGCTCACCCACATCATAATTTTGTTCAGCGGAAGAAAGTCTACGGGAGAAGAAAGCACAAGGGTGTATCTTTTGGTCTGAATCGAGCCTCTGGGACAGGACAGCTCCAACACCAGAATCTGAAGCGTCCACCTCTAGGATAAACTGTTTAGCAGGATCAGGTTCCATGAGGACAGGAGCTCTGGAAAACAAGGATTTTAGTTTCTCAAATGCTGCTTGAGCCTCGGGAGTCCACTGAAAAGTGCGTTTAACAGAAGTCAGGGAGGTTAATGGAAGGGCGGTCTGGCTGTAGTTTCTAATAAACCGACGATAGAAGTTAGCGAACCCTAGAAACCTCTGTAACTGTTTGCGGTTCTCTGGAACTGGCCAGTCTAAGACTGCTTTGATCTTGTCCTCTGAAGGTTTTACCTGGCCGCCCTCGAGCACAAACCCCAAAAAGGTGACTGAAGATTGATGAAATTCGCACTTCTCGGCTTTCACGAACAGCTTATTCTCCAGTAGCCTCTGTAAGACAACACGGACATGTTTCTTGTGTTCATCGAGGTCCTTGGAGTAAATGAGAATGTCATCAATGTACACGAAAACAAACACGTTGAGAAAGTCTCTGAGAACATCATTTACTAGGGCCTGGAAGCAGGCTGGGGCGTTAGTTAGACCAAAGGGCATTACAAGGTATTCGAATTGGCCCAAGGGTGTTTTGAAGGCAGTTTTCCATTCATCGCCCTCACGGATCCTAAGGAGATAATAAGCGTTTCTTAAATCCAACTTAGAAAACACTGTTGCTCCCTGTACAGGTTCAAAAGCAGAGGCGAGAAGAGGCAGTGGGTATTTGTTTTTAATTGCAATCTGGTTCAAACCTCGATAGTCAATACAAGGTCTCAGGGAACCATCCTTCTTACCCACAAAGAAGAACCCGGCGCCCAATGGAGAGGATGATGGGCGAATTATTCCAGCAGCTAATGATTCATTGATGTATTTTTCCATCGTTTCTCTTTCGGGCTTGGAAATGTTATACAATCTGCTGCTAGGAAGAGGAGCACCAGGTAAAAGTTCAATGGCGCAATCGTATGGTCTGTGTGGAGGTAGGGACGTCGCACTGACCTTACTGAAGACAGGGGCTAAATCATGGTACTCAGGGGGAACTGAAGAAAGGTCAGGAGAGTCCATCTCCCCCCCACCTCTAGGAGACCCCACCACGGGGGCAGCAGAACGAAGGCATGTTTCGTGGCATGAAGTGGACCATGATTCCAGGTGACGTTCAGTCCAGTTTATGTGAGGATTATGCTTCTCCAACCATTCGAACCCGAGCACCAGCGGGGAACATGCAGAGGGAAAAACAAATACACTGAGAGATTGAGAAAGGGGAATGGTTTTAATCTGGAGTTGCTGGACGAGGTTAGAGTCGATAAGGTTACGTTCACAGCCTGAGTCGATGAAAGCAGAAAAAGAGAGGCTTTGATTAGCACAGAAAAGCGTGGCAGGCAGTAACAGTCGAGGAGATTTCTTTGTGTTTATTTGGCCCGCCAGACTCCTCAGATCCTCTGGCGGGCCCCGGCTTTTGATTTTGCCGGGCAGGAAGCGATGAAGTGTCCACTCTCACCACAGTAGATACATAGTTTGCTTAGAAAACGCCTTTGTCTCTCCTCTGGAGTGAGCCCGGTGTGTCCCACCTGCATGGGTTCGACATCCCTTTCGCCCGAATGTGAGGTCTGAACAGGCAACGGTAGAGACTGGGGCTTAGACTTCTGAATGGGCAACTGCTCTGTAGAGGGAGAACAAACAGTCACGTTATCAGAGGCAGAAGAAATTGTACCCTGCTTCTTAGAACTGTTTCTGGCTCGAATTCTATTATCTAATCTGATGGAGAGGCGAATTAAATCTTCGAGGGTAGCAAATAACAGCTCTGAACTAATTGGGGTTCCTGATTTACTGGTGTTAAAACTGAGTCAAGTCTCAGTTTTTGCATTTGAAAGGACCCACATTATGGGAGACTTTTGATCAAATGAAAGTAAATTATAGTGATAATGGCCCATAATATAACCTTGTAAAACATTTTGCAAGGTCATATAATGGGCATCATCACTATAACTTACTTTCATTTCATCCAAAGTCTCCCATGGTGTGAGTTCTTTCCAATAGAAAAAACGGATCACTGCTTCAAACTCAACAGGCTCCATTTGAGACTTTACTCAGGTCAAACACCTGTAAGTCAGAAACCACAAATAGTTCAGAGCTGCAATTTGGTACTTCATCTACAGAGATTTAAATAACCTAAGATGCAAAATTTCAGCTCGATCAAAAATCTCGTAAAGGGTCAGGGGCATTACTTATTGAACTCCCCTCGTAGAACATCACATCCCTGTATTGTCCCACAATGGGGAATTTCTAGTGTTACAGCAGCAACAAGAATATAGAAAAAATGTGCACGCAAATGTGGCCCTTACAAGAGTGTATAAAATAACATATAAGTGAATTGTTAATAAATAAATAAATAAAATACTGTACTGTAAAGTGTTTTAACAATATAAATACTGTGCACTAAATAATCAATAAAAAGCAGCATCAGAGATGTGCTAAATGACAGCAGATTGTTATGTAACTGACTAAGATAGAAACGTTGCAACACCAGCGTGAAGGTAGCAACTTATTGAGGTTGT